ATCAAATTCTTATAACATAAATCAAATTCTTACAGTATAAATCAAATTCTTACAGTATAAATCAAATTCTTACAGTATAAATCAAATTCTTACAGTATAAATCAAATTATTATATAAATCAAATTATTATATAAATCAAATTATTATATAAATCAAATTATTATATAAATCAAATTATTATATAAATCAGAAAGGACATTTGACCTGTGTCAGAAACAATAGGGAAAGAAAATGGCTATTTATGTTTCACTTGCTGGGATTTCAGAATAACAGAATTGGAAGGGACCTTGGAGATCTTCTAGTCCACCCCTCTGCTCAAGTAGGAGACCTATACCACTTCAGACAAATAGTTGTCCAATCTCCTTTTAAAAACCTCCAGTGTTGGAGCACCCACAACTTCTGGAGGCAAGTTGTTCTACTGATCAATTGTTTTCACTTCAGGAAATTTGTTAATCTAGGTTGCTTCGCTTCTTGATTAATTTCCACCCATTACTTCTTTGTGTCGGCTCCTCAGATATTGGAAAATTGCTATCATATTACCTCTAATCTTCTAGTCTTCTCTTAATTAAACTAGACAAACCCAATGCTTACAAAAGTTCTTCATATGTTTTAGCCTACAGTCCCCCAATCATCTAGAGACTCTAGAGTCTCAACATGTTTTTAAAAAATGGCAACCAAAACTGGATTAAATATTCCAAGTGTGATCTTACCATGGCTTTATAAAATGGCTCATATTTTAAGTGGTTGTTCATAAAACTCCAAGGTTCTTCTTGCAGTTACTACTATTGAGCCAGGTTCCATCTACCTATGCATTTGGGGTTTTTTGTCTAAATGCAGAACTTTACTTTTCTCGCCATTGAATTTCATTTTGTTAGATAGGGCCCAGTGTTCAAGTCTGTAAAGATCCTTCTGTATCTTGAGTCTATCTTCTGGAGTATTGGCTATTCCGGTCAGCTTGGTGTTGTCTGCAAATTTGATGAGTTCCCTTCTATCCCCTCATCTAAACCATTGATGAAGATATTGAGGAGTACTGAGCCTAAGACAGAGCCTTGGGGTACCCCCTGCACACTTCTCTCCATGTAGATGCAGTTCTAATAAGGCTTGCATATTAAGTGCAATTTGTCTGCCAGTTACAAATCCATCCCGTAGTGATGTTGTCTAACCCACATTTTTGTATCTTGTTAAGTAGTAAGTTATAGTCTACTTTATCAAATGCCTTATTGAAGTCCAAATAAATGGTATCTATAGCATTTCACTGGTCCACTAATTTTGTCACTGTCTACTAATTTTGTCACTTCAAGAGTAGATAACAAAAGATTAAAACAATCACAGGTTGCTTGTAATTAGAAGCATACTGGTTTAATCACAAGCACAGACCAAAACAGACCCCTCATAAATGGCTACCCTTATATTTGTGTGTTTAGCAAACCCATGCTTATATCAAGACAAATTTATCAATCTGATGTAAAAAAAATTACCTCTAAGTAGTGGGGTGATGATAGTAGAAAGAAGGCTTCCAGCATTAATAGAAAGATAAAATATAGAGAAGAACCTGCTTCTTTGTTTTTCCTGAAATACAAAAAAGAACCCCATTATCAATTAGTATTTGACATTCTTCTAATATAAAAGTGTAGGGTGTCTATAAATAAATACGTTTTGCAAAATCATTTATCATATTGCTTTTAAAGGTTTCATAAAATAATGTTTACAGGTAGCCCTTATAACTATTCATTTAGCAATGTTCAAAGTTACAAAGGCCCTAAAAAATGACTTATGATTGGTACTTGCACTTATGACTGTAGCAGCAGTTTCACAGTCACATGACCAACATTTTAATGCTTGGCAACTGGCATGTATTTTCATTGGTTGCAGTGTCCTGGAGTCATACGATAGTCATTTGAGACCTTCTCACTGCTTCTGACAAGCAAAATCAGTGGGGAAAGTGGATTTGCTTAATGACTGTTTGATTCACTTAACTGCAATGATTCACTGCTTTTCTTGGCAATGGAAATTCTGATCTTGAATTGTCATGTCAAGGACGACTACCTGCATTTTTTTAATCTACACGGAAATAAGTTAAATAGCAGACGATTACTGGGACTCCAATGACTACATTTGTTCCTCAGGAAAAAGTTGCCAAGTATAAGTTTGGCTAAGGAAATCTCAGCCAAACTGTAGCTGTGGCAAAGATACTGTACAGTACTGGAAAAATATAAGCTACATGGTGAAGCAGGAGAGAAAAAAGGCAAAGAACGAGCTTTTCAGGTATTCTAGACAGAAGTTGATATGAAATCTGAAATATTATGAAGATCTGCTATACTTCCATTGAATCTTGTTGCATATTGTAAATAGAATGTCAGAAATCTCCATAGTGCCACGCACACATACAATTCAAATGAAATCCATGTGTAGCCCCATTTCTTGATCCTCTATTTGCTTCCTTATGGTCCAATATGGCAACAATACTGTCATACAACCAAGAATTAAACCAAAGCATGATAGTTTACAATATTTGTAAGTAATGAAATAAAATTGATACCTGGTCTTCTTCAAACTGATCTCCCCCAAAGGCTGCAACACATGGTTTGATCCCACCAGTTCCCAGAGCAATAAGGACCAAACCGATCATAGAGAAGGCTCTGCAACAACAGATTAACCATAATAGGTGAGTCATGTAAAAAGCACCCTGGTCTTTTCGCATGTATTTTTCTATCTATATTTTACTTTGAACATTGAGATATACTTGCTAATGGGCTACATGCAAACAGTTGAGGCATATAATAGAATCTCTGAAAATCCCAAAGGGATCACAGCACAAAATATATCTAGCCGCCCTGAAGGTGACCCACTGTGAAAATAGGATTTGGAAAACTGGAATTAAAAAATACATTACAAAACAAATACATGTTGGTTAATATCCTATCCAAAGCATATTTTAATATGGTATAGATTTAAGCTGAGCTTACCATCATAATGGTGATAATTGCAATACATTTCAGATCCAAATTATATGTACATGACGCATAAACTCAAAACCAACCATGACAACAATAAATACTAAGATGAGCTCATTAAACTGAAGCCCGCCAGCATATAAAGAAAGAAAACCCCTGACCTGGAAACATCTGCATGGGAAATATGCATCCTTAGGAAATTAATGAAGACATAAATAAGAGTATAGATCAAGAATGAAAACTGACATGCACACTACTATGCTAGACAAAAGTTAAAAGGAATGCAATATTACAAAAGTATTTCTGGATATAATTCAGATTATTCTGGAAATAATCTGTAAACATGCAAAATGTTCATCCAAAACTCTTCCATGTTGTTTCTGTCAACCATTTAGTTTTCCTGTCCCCTGTACACATTGATTACTATTATAAAGTATATTTTTGAAAGATTAATTTTATAATGGACAAGCATCTAATCTAGCCATTAGTATTGGGCAGAGAGAGGATTATTTCCTATGTAGTAATGTTGAAGGGCAAGGATAGGATAGGATAGAATAGGATAGGATAGGATAGGATAGGATAGGATAGAATAACAGAGTTGTAAGGGACCTTGGAGGTCTTCTAGTCCAACCCCCTGCCTAGGCAGCAAACCTTACACCACTTCAGACAAATGGTTACCCAACATCTTTTTAAAAACTTCCAGGGTTGGAGCATTTACAACTTCTGGAGGCAAGTTGTTCCACTGATTAATTGTTCTAACTGTCAGGAAATTTCTCCTNCTATGAATTTACCTATTTCCCCTTCACAGCAAACCAAGCAGATAACAATATCCATTAAGCAGAAGTGCTTGTTTATTTACACAAGATCCTGAGTGTTATGTTTGCTTATCTCAAATTGACTTAATATGTTTGTAAGTCCACCCCTATTTGGTTAACTTAGCAAACCCAGAAAATAAATAAATTCCACAACCATATTGTGTAAATACAACCAAAATTGGATTATGCTTTATTTTTATGACTATAATTGAAACGTGGGTGAGTCATAATTACATAATTGATGAAGCAATGCAGTGATTATTTTTACATCTCAAAATTGCGTAACTGAGAATGAGTAGTACATTGCCAGATACAGTATAAACAAAAGATATGCATGATCTCCACAAAGAACAGAATGCTGTTTGAAAAAACCCGAAAGATTTGTCCAAAACTTAATCTGAAAGTTAAACGAATTACACCCACATTTTTATTCTGATAAATACAGTAAATATCTAAAACTGAGTAAACTGCTTTTATTTTAATCAACCTAGTCAGCCTATTGAATTATTGAAAAAAATCTTAAAGCATTGTGCATTTTTTTTATTTGCCCATTATTACGATTTTGTGTTTGTTTTCAAAGTAAAGTAATATTAAATCTAACTGCCCAAATGATACAGAGGATGCTTTAACCTTTATTCTGATCTTATTTAAACGTGTTAAAATTTCTGAAGTTTGGGGGTTTTAAACCTATTATTTTTCAATTATATCTGCTGTTTATCTTTTGACATTGCAAGCAAATTTTTAAGGCTGCCAGGTGGGGTCATAAAATTAGACATTTAGCAATGGCACAATGATAGCAATCACTTAATGAAAATAGGTCAATCCAAAAAGTAAAACCTGTTGTTGTTATAGTAGTATATAATAAAATTTAATATAGTCCAATAATACAACTTACATCATACTTTTCAGTAGCCCAGTCCAACCAGTGTTCTCTCTTGGGAAATTGTTTGCTGCGATGTTTAAATCTATTTCGAATAGCAAACTGGAAAAGATATAATTTGCAAATTAATTAGAATACTCTTTTTCTTTTAATTACATTCATAAATATTTGGAGGGGGGGAAAAGAACCCAGGTTATCTCCCTGAAATACCAAAAGTTATGGGAATAGAAATTGTGCTAACTAGATGTGAACAAAATTCTCAATCCAAGAGGCGATCCAAGTCCACCCCCCTCCACCCCCCACAAAATCTGTTAACTCTTATTTAGTGCCAATTCAGTGCTGACAATTAGTTAACTAAGTTCCTGTGTATAGGTGTGAAAAATAAGTCTTCTTAACTGGAACTTAACATGTGGTCCTGATTCTTCATGCCTGACAATATTAACTACAATAATAAACAGTAAGGAAAATACAAAGTACCATTTCCAGAACAATCAAAGACAGTCTAAGCTACCTCCTTGAACATCCTCCCTGATGCTCTTCAAATATGCTGGACTAACATTCTTATTCCCCTTTCAGCTGGAAATGATGATGAATCTAATACTTTCAATTTCTTGATTAAATAAATTGAAGGAAGACTATCTTTTAACTTTTTTTTTACAAATACAAGTGGGACAGTGGTGAGATTAGAATAATTTAACAACCGGTTCGCCCAGGGTCACATTGGCTGTTGTGGGAGGCATGGCCCATTGGGACAATCCTCCCATGATGGCCAACCTGACCCCAGGCAAACTGGTTGTTAAATTACCCACCCACTGCTATCAAAGTGGATCCTGGATGCTTCCCTACAATGGAGAAACGGGCAATGGAGTGGCTGGCATGAAGGAAGGAGTAGGGAGGGCAGCCTTCTTCCCTCGCGCTGGCCGCTCCATTGCCCATTTCTCCATTGCAGCGCAGCGTCCAGGATCCACTTTAATAGCGGTGTGTGTGTGTGTGTGTGTAATTTAACAACTGGTTCGTTTGAACCAGTGTGGACTGGTTGAATCCCACCACTGAAATGGGACAAAAACTTCCAGCAAGAAGATAAATTTAAGGAACCCAAAGAGTTATTTAAAAGCTGATTCAATAAATCAGTGTTTCTCAACCTCAGCACCTTTAAGATGTGCAGAGTTCAACTTATGCTGGCTAGGGAATTCTGCGAGTTAAAGGCCACATGTCTTAAAGTTGCTAAGTTTGTAATTCAGAATATAAAACTTCCTTCTTTTTATTAGGCAACTGTGTCAAATTTTTGCACAGCATAGTAGTGACCCCAAATAAGCGGGCATATTGATCCCAGATGGTATTCAGATACTGTTTTCCAAAAATACTTTTCCCATTAAACTTTTTAATACTATGGCATAACTAGTCTGCACCTTAACCATATTCCCATAATGTCTTTAGGACAAAGAAATCAGTCAGTGGATAGCTGCTGATTTTCTGGAATATTTAGCAGGAGTTCTCCCAGTGATATTAACATTCATTTATTCTCCATTTTCCGGAAAAGATAAATATAGTCCTCAAGAAACAATAAAAGGGAAAAAGGAAAAAGAGCAAGAGTAGCATCTAATATCCAAGCAGGAAGGCAACATGCAGCCTTTAAAATACTTAAAGCTAAAAAAAATTTAACCAGGTAATAACTGGTTTGACTAGGCTTCCTACACATTTTTTAAAAATTCTGCATATATTTCTTTCCCGCTGCCCCCAATACTTTTTGCATGGAAACCTTTGGCTTAATTGGTTGAACAAGGTAGGGACAAATTTTGTTCTGGCTTTGCTACCCAAGGCACAGTCTTTTCTTCTTGGATTTCAGTTTGTCAACTTCTGTAATTTTGGCTTTAGATAGGAAGAACTAAACTACCTTCATGTTTATTTTTCCTGGAGATGAATTATAGGAAGAAGAGCCAAGAATTCTTCATATGGAGCATAAGGAGGTTTGATCTGCATATTATAATTAAATATGCAGATCAATTGCATAATTGTAAGAGCCATGGTGGCGCCATGGTTAGAATGCAGTATTGCTGGCTAACTCTGCCCACAGCCAGAAGTTTGATCCTAACCGGCTCAAGGTTGACTCAACCTTCCATCCTTCCGAAGTAAGTAAAATGAGGACCCAAATTGTTGGGGGCAATATGCTGACTTTGTAAATCGCTTAGGGAGGACTGTAAAGGATTGTGAAGTGGTATATAAGTGTAAGTGCTATTGCTATTACTATATTTACCTAAGAACCCTTGGAAAAAGAGGCCTGCCAGAAAGCTTTTTACACTTTTTCTCCTAATTGACAACTCTGCCTTCATTTATTTATTTATTTATTAGACTTATATACTGCTTCATAGGGCTTTCAGCCCTCTCTAAGCAGTTTACAAATTTTTTAGCAAATTGAGTCAGCAACTTGCCCCCACAGTCCGGGTCCTCATTTCACCCGCCTCGGAAAGATGGAAGGTTGAATCGACCTTGAGCCTGTGAAATTTGAACCGCTGAACTGCAGCTCACAGTCAACTAAAGTGGCCTGCAGTACTGCACCTTAACCACTGAGCCACCTCGGCTCTTTTACATAATAAAGACGTCTCCACTGCAGCTTCAGGGGGGATGGGAGTAATATTGGCCCTTTACTCAACTGACCACATGGCATCTGAGAACTAAACTAAACCTGGATTCAAAACACAGCCTAGAGAGT